CCCTTTGGGAGAAGTTTTAACTTCTTGACAAATTTGACTCCCTCAAGGGAACGAGAGCGTGAGCTGTACGGGCCCAAGAAGAGAGGACCTAAGCCTAAAACTTTTCTCCTGAAGGTAACTCTTAATTTAAATAACTTAGGCCTAGCCAAATGTCTCTCAAACCTCACCGGTGTGTGCCCTTGGAAGGAGTGGACTTTCAAGTGACTTGTGTCTGCCGCCTGGCTCTGGGGACGGATGGGAAAGCGGGTGGGGGGCAGGGACACAGAAGCGTGCGAGGGGAGAGCGTGTGTGCGTGCGGCGGGTGCCCCAGCAGGACGGTCGGTACACGCGGATGTGCACGGTGAGGCTGCAATCTCTTTTCCAATATCCTCTCCCTCTTTACGGCCTTCTGCTGCCGCAGTGGAGAGCTAGCCTGCCCCGCTCCCTCTTCCTTCAGCAGCCTATTCCACCTAGCCTGTGCCCTGCAACTTAGCAGCGTGCTGAGCAATCGGGCAGCTGTGGCAGGAGTCCCACTGCCACTTGTGTTCTTCGAACTGTGTTTCAGGATGTAGGTGCTCCACAAGAATTTCACAAAGGGTTTATGTTTTGATCTGTAAATTGCAGGTTTGTTTCGTTTTTTGGGGGGGTGGGGAGGGGGAGTGTTTCACCTCTGCATAGGACAGCAGCTGAAGTTTCCAGTTCCCCTCTGATAGACCCAGCATCTCTGCAAGAAGGTGTTGTCGTAGCATCTCTGTCTGCTTGCAGTGACGAATGAGGAAGATAGTCCCTACTGCAGGCCCCCCCCCCTTTTCTTACTTTCTTCTTTTTTTAATTAAGAAATCTGGTAGCTGTGTGAGCTCTGTGTGAACTCTGTGGATTTATTAGTCTACAGACAAAACTCTTTGCTTTGCTCCCCTCTTACCCCTCTTCCTCTCCAACTATGTCAATCTAGGACTTCAAATGAATGTAAAAACACAACACACCTTTGTACGATTAAGACAGATGAGCGAATTCACAGCTTCCCTGGTTCTGATCTGGTATAAAACCCTGGAGCGGCCAGGGTGGACCCTGTGGTAAGGCATCGCTATCACTAAGTCATCCTATGGCTTTGGGCAAGTCATTTAGCCTTTGTGCATGTTTCTCCATCTGTGAAACAGGTTAATACTTTCTTTTGCTTGACAGCGGTAGCAGCTTTACTCAAGTCAGTGCAGCACTTTAACTGTATGAGCACCGGAAAGAGCAGTGAGGGGTAGGGTGTCACCTCTCCTCTGCTTTAAGAGGACATAATGAAGCACACAGAAGAAATGCAGGAACAGGCGTACTCTGATGCTCCGAGTAAAACCCAGGGGACTGTGGTAATCCTTGGAAAGTCCTGCTGATGGAACTGTCCTCCTCCTCCCTTGTTGCCTGTTTTTCTGCTAACAGTTTTCTGTATCTGCAGACTGAGAACTACAAACATAACTGATATGTACCACCTCTTACTCTTTATTCAAGGAAACTAGACTAGTTGGTTTTTCTCTTTCTGGCAGTCATGCATTAAATGAAACCCTTGTGTTTAGGTTTCCAACAATGCAGAGGAACGCTTAAAGGGAAACCACCAGCTTAAAATAGTTCTCTGCTTGAATTAAAAAATACTGATATTTGTAACACCTGACATTGTTCAGAGTGGTAGAGAAGTGTTTATGCTGTGCTTTTAACATTACTGTGTGTAATCAGTTTCTTTTCAATTCTGAATGTGATACAGCAAAATCCACTGCCAATTTTTCACTCATTTAAAAAACCGAAGCCATCCCCCAAACTCAAAAATAAAACCCACTCATTCCTCCTCTTCTCCCCTTGCCCTTTAAAAATCCCCCTAAACTTGGAACCTGAATTATTCAACAGCATCCTTTGAATCACGTCCCTGACACGTTTCTGTGGCACATCTTCCTTCTGCCAGCTTCTCAAACGCTACTGAAAACCCGTAGGTTTGCAGAGCTGGCTTGGTACTTTGTAGAAGATGGATCGCGATAGGGAGCGAGATGAGCTCTCCTGAAGGCTGGTGCCACGTTGTGGGAGAGGCTGGCAGGGCAGAGCGCTGCCGCTTGGTTTGCAGCTCTGGGAAACGGAGCTGGTGAAACTGTTGGCGCTCTGACTTCCCATTTTTCTGTGACTTTGGATCCTACCCTAAAAATAACACCTCAGGCCAGGCAGCAAGAAGTAACCCTATCTCAGCTAGCCCTATCTGAACTCGTTTGGGCTCCGTTTAGGCAAATCACTGGCAATTAAACTGTGGCTAGAAACGCAACTGAGACCGGCGTGATAGTTTGTGTCGTATGCATCTCGGTCAATTCTGACCTGTGGGTCAGTTGCGGGTTTGACCTCTGCTAGCCCTGCAGCACTGGCGCTGCTGCGGGAGGAGTGGGATTGGGTTCTGCCTTGTGCATCGCTAACGATGTTTTTGATTCTTTCAGCTGCAGAATCTCTTGCCAGTGACAATTTCGGAAGCAGGGGAAGAAATTTGATTCTTGCATCCCAGAGGGAGTCTTTGGAGTTGGCAGTTAGAACAATATTCTTTTTGATCTGTTAGCTGAACAGATTAGGCCTGGATGCAATGAAGTTTAAGCAGGAGTCCGGCGTAGGACTGCTTTGGTAGACTAGTCTGCCCTTGACTTGGTGTCTTGCTAGGATTTTTCATGTGTATCAGTGCTTAAACTTAGGCTTCTGAGTCTCCAGTAAGGCATTGAAATAAGTGCCCCGCTATGCCGCTCAGTCCCCTGGCTTGTGTGGGTGTTTTAGTTTGCAGTTGGGGCTAGGTTTATTCTGGGATTAGTTCTCAAAAGCTGCGGATAGGCACCCAGGGGGATTTGCAGAAAGCATTCCAGCAGGTTAGTGGCCCACGCCTTTGGGAAAGCTTTGAAAAGCTGCATCTTCGGCCACCTGCTGCCTTTGTGAGCCAGGCTCCTGTTGCTGAGAGCTGTCTAACACTTGCCCTTTCGATCAGACTCCAAAGGGAAATTACAGTCCAGGCTTTGTAATATCGCTATCAAGATGGCCGGTGTCGAAAGTGACCCCTGCAAACTTCAACTGCAAAGTTTTGGGCAGGAAATAGGTCTTTATCCTCTGCATACTAGGGGCAAACTTTCCCACAGCTGAGATCAAGCTTGGCGGGAGGTTGTAATTCTTGGGAGGCTGCTGGTATGCTGCAAGCTTTGTGCTGAGTGTATGGGAAGCAGAGTCCTTGGTCTGAAATGGGCAGCACTGTACGTAAAGCTCTTACCTTACTACTTAGGTGTCTGGCAGAAGTCGTCCTTGAGGACAGGCCCTTCAGCTGCAGGTCAGAATGGAAGCTGGTATGAGGTTAGAAAGAGACATAGCGCATGCTGTAGTGATCTTCCTCTTTCCCCTGCTCGGTTTGTTCTTTTTATTTTGCTTTTCCCTTGGCACTCTGCTGAGAGGAATGCAAAACTCGCCAACTAATCTAATAAAGTCTAGCAAGTGCTATTAAGAGACAGAGCCCGATCTGCAAGCTCAGTGGGTGGCTAGCAAAGACCCCTAGTCGGGGTGGCTGTAAATACTAAGGTGAAAAGACTGGAGAAGGTCAATGGGGAGGAAGAAGTAAGGGAGAGCCTTAGTGGGAGAGGGGGGAAGAAGGGGCCAAGCAGTGTGGTGTTCTGTCGCTTCGCCCTTCCTTGAACTCTGAAGTTGGAGTTGGGTTTCTTTTGATCTCCTCCCTGTTCGTAAATTATCCCCGAGCGGTTTGAAAACTGACCGTTCCCCTTTGTAGCATTTTGTTCCCCATCCAGTAGGGAAACTTTAGTTTATGGCAGTGTTGCTTGGGAGAACTGTGCTATGAACTGGCTTGCTGTTGCCTTGTCACTTGGAAGACTGCAGAAGAAAGAGGGCGATAAAAAGGCAGAATGGCAGCCAAAAAGGGGAAAGAAGAGCTCTTGCGAATGCTGTTTGGAGCAAAGACTGTGGGAATGCAGGTGGAGAATAAAAGACAAAGCAGAACCAGTAATTTATGAGAGAGTAGCGCTACTATGGTGCAGCAGCGCTACTGGAAATGACTTGATTTTGAAGTAATTAACTAGAAATCCGTTGCCTTGCGAGGTCTTTTTTTGTCTTTTTCTTTTCTTTTCTTCCAAATTGCAGAGGTTTTGATATAAATCAGGTGAGAGAGGCTTTTCTAAGCACGCATCCGTGTACGTGCTTGTGTGCCTCAGTGCGTTAAGGGAATGAATGAACAAATGTGTTTGCTGGGCCTCAAGGGACATTTATTCAGAAATAGTAGGGAACAGGGGAGATATACTAGTTCCCAGGAGCAATGAGGGAAAGCTGTACAAGCTAAATAAAGGTGATACATATCCCAAAAGGGAAGGGGGGGAAGGGAGGCAATCCTAGCAATTGCCTTGCTCTTGTGACAGAGCACTGCAGCAAGCCTCCAGAAGCTGCATCCTGATGTAGGCTGAGCTGTAAGCAGAGAGTGAATTACTTTGTATACATGCTGAGTACCTCTTCAGCAGTGAGCAAATCCTGCAGGTGAAAGCAGCAAAACCCAGAGAGGTAGTTTCCATTTGGAAAACTTCTGAGTTAAGTAGCAAACTGTGGTGACACAGCTGAAAGGATTAAATGGGTTTGTTTTTCAAAGACCTCATGCTCATACAGCTTGTGAGTGTGATCAAGTAATGGATCTGTAGCAGGGAGAAGTGCGTTTCCAGCAGATAAAACTGAATGCTGAGTCTTCTCCAAACCAGAGGTAGCAAGTTACTTAATGTAAAGTTGGAAGCAGAAGGAGAGCCCAGAAAATGTGCTGTCCTCTGCAGGGAAGAGGCTTGAGTTCATATAGTCAATGCCCGAATAAACCTGATCCTGTGGTAGGAATACTGAGCTTTGCAAGTGAGAGGGCTCTGGGGGGCTGGTCTTAGATAAAGCATCTGATACTATTTTTCTTGAAACCTTACCTGGAAAAACAAGCTCCAGGTAAGCTGAATATTTGCATATTGCTCTTTGGAACTCATGTTGAAGCTGGTCACTGGGGACAGCAGTGTAGCACCTGGGTCCCAGTTTACCCCCTCTCTTAATAATCTGGCCAAAGGGGTTGGAGGTGCATGTAGTCTGCCTGGAGACTACTGAAACTGGATTTTAATAAATGCAGAGAGCTGAAACTTGAGTTAGAAACAGCTTCAGCCTTGAGGAAGTGCCTCAGAAGTAACTGGAAACACAGACACATAGCAAGTAAAGGAGACCTAGTGGTTCTGGCATGCTGGAAGAGTCCTAGCTGTGCTCTGGGGCTCTGTGCTAGCCGCCGTGTAAGCACAAAACCAAGACGGGTCTCTCTGTCAGAACAGGGCAGGAGCTGATTAATGTGCACAGGCTGAGAAAGTAAAATCAGCAGGACTATGGAAGTGGCTGGGCAGTGACCATCCCAGCATTATCGCTTTTCATTTAACATGGTTGATGGGAGGCTTTGCTGAGGAATTTGGGTGTGTATAAGGCAACTGTGGCTTGGGGCAGATGTCGGGGGAGGCCTGCTTCTTTCTCATGTGGTGGATGGAAGGCAGCGCTGTGGGCAGGTGGCAATTAGACTCGACTCTGAGCAGAGGGGCACAGAGGGGGCAGAACTCCTCGCTGCAAGACATGATTACAGGGTAGGGAATTAATCTAGAAGACATGCAGTGTTGGCAGCAGGAGAGGCCCTAAAGGATGCCTGTGTCTATCAGCTGAAGCTGTGCATCAAGGATTTCTACCCGTGCATCTGTCTGTACCCTCTGCCTGGCTTCCCTGTCCTGTGTTTTGGAATGGGACATTGTGTTGCACTCTGCTCTCTGCTGAGCAGTGGTAAATTGGCGAGAAGCCCAAAGCACGAAAGTGGCAATGCTGGAAGGGCTGGCTGTGATGGAGAGGGGCTGGGGGAGGAAGAATAAAATTGTTAATCCAGGCTGTGCTGGTATGTAATGTCAGAAAGGAAACTGTAGCTTGTCCTGGTGTCTGCCATCTGCTTCGGAGGGACCTGTGAAGACAGGGAGCAAGCACAGCCCTAGATGTGCATCTGTCTGTGCCTGTGACCTCCTGATGGGATCTGCAGGATCTCTAAGTTGTGGATCATTGGGATGGGAGGGGGAGAGTTGATGCGTGGTGCTGGGAGCTCATCTGGTGCTGCTGCTGTGCTCCAGCCTGTAGGATGGCTGGGACAGGAACTGTGTCTAACTCTTCATTTTCTGAGCAGTTTGGGGCACGGAATAATGTGTGAGGCTGAGCAAAGAGAAACTAGCTGGACACTGGGATGCTTCCTGCTACAGCAGGACGTGTTGGGGTTTGCCTGGGCTGGGGATGCTTCCCTCTAGCTAGGTGAAACAGTCCTGTACAGCCCAGGGTCAACATGGAGAGTGTCTGTGCCTGCCTTGGCAGTCACGTTACTTGTCCCTGTTTCTTTGTCAGTCGGCTAATAAAAAGTCTAGAGTCCCTGGTGCAGATGAGCCTTCAGTCTGCATTTTCACATATAACCGGGGAAGGAGGCCTCATCTTTGCAGTCCTTTTAAAGCCAGGATACAAGCAGTACTGCAGGGCATGATCCAGCATTAGCCAGGAAGGAACAAAATGTCTTCACGTCTCTGTTCTTTGCTTGTTCAGGATCTTCTGCGGTTCCCATGGGGATCTCGGTGGGAGAAGAGGCGCACTGGGTGACAGCAAAGCTCTGGGGATGTAGGGCCAGGGCTTTCAGCTTATTGTGCAAGAGCTAGCCTGGGCCCCTCGCTTAGATCTGTTAGATCCCTGCCTTTATACGCACATTTTTTTCCCCAGGCGTTTCTCTGGTAGGAGGCACAGCCTGCAGGGTGACAAAGGAGATGGTGTTGGAGTGCTTAAGCTCTTAGCTGGCAAGAAGCCATCCCGATCTTGGCGTGTGCTAGGGGGCAATGGGATGGAAAAGTTGGGGAGGAAAAGCATCTGTCTTCTAGCCCTGCAGTTCTTCTTGTGCCCACGAGATGGGGGAAGCTGCTCACTAGATGGGCAATCAGAGGGGGGCTCGCCTGTCCCCTCCAGGCCTGGGTGGCTTCTGCCTGTGACCACTGCTGAGAGGGAATAAGGCAGGGGGGTTGTTTGGGCAAGGAGTGAGGTGCAAGTGGGAGGCTGAGCTCTACAAGCAACTGTGCTCTGACAAGGGGTGGTGCAAGAATATGCTCTGGGTTTCCATGCCCACAGGGTCTTCAGGTCGTACTGCCTCAACTTACCAATAAAACTGTTGTTCCTGCTGCCAGAAGATGTTCCTGGTGCATGAACGAGGGCAGGTTTTGGCACTATCTCCAAGCACCAGAAGAGCTTAAAAGTCTTGTTCTCCTGCACTGGCTCTCAGGGAGGGCTGGCACCGAGCAGTTGAACTAGTGCTGTTCCTGCTCTGTTTCATTAGTAGGTTTCAAACAAGTGTGGTGTTCAAAAGGGACAAGACAATCTCTTCTTTGGAGGTGCAGTTAAACTTGACTTGAGTTCCAGCTGGCCTGGTCTCTGGCTTTAAACACTGGACCTCTCTTCCACGGCAGAGTAAGGATATACAATTGGCTTGTGGTCTCTAGTTAAAATTAAGCTTCAGGTCTCTGCGTTTCTTGTGTTTAGCTAAGACAGCTCTGTCAGGCCTCCATCTGTGTTTCTCAAGACCCGCTTCCACCATGCTTTCCAGAGCAGATGAGTCTGGTTGTGGGAGGGGAAGAGCAAAGTGGATGCATTACTCTTCCTCTCCCCCTTGTCTTGCACTCATTTTGTGGAGGACCCGAAACAGTACCCTGCCATGGGACTACCACGTAATTTTTGGATGCTAACTCAACACTAGCAGCCCCAATGCCCAGGAGTACGCTTGGTTGTTTGGCTGACAGTGGAGGGTTGTGTGTGTTGGCTGATGATGACTGAGGGGGGCCTTGGAAACCATTAACTGTAACCCTGAAACATGGCTGGAAGGTGGCAGTTGCTTCCTGGGGAAGCACATGTCAACAGGGGCACTGCCTAGGAAGTAATTAGCTGTCCAAAAAAGATGTAGAAGTGCCTCATGCTTGTATGGGGGCTGTGCCATGGCTCTTAATAGTCCATAGGCATGTATGTGTGCTTGTTATTAATGTGGGTATAAATGTGGCACGGCATTCTTGTCCTGAGGTGAGCAGTGAACGATTTGAGATTTGGCTGCATCTAGGCTGCCTCTCTGACCCTGTTTTTTTTTTTCTCTCTCCCCACCACCGCAGGCTCGGGCCCAAGCGGAGGCCCTCCACATTGGGGATGTACACTTTTCTGTCAAGCCTGGTTCCAGCACCTCCTCTCCCAAGCTCCACTCCAGCGCCGCGGTGCACCGGCTCAAGAAAGACATCCGGCGATGCCACCGCATGTCCCGGCGCCCCCTGCCCCGTCCAGACCCCCAGAACGGCGGGAGCGTGGGTGGTGGGGCTGGCATCCGTCCTCCCGTCTCGCCCTTCTCGGAGACCGTCCGCATCATCAACCGTAAGGTGAAACCTCGTGAGCCCAAGCGCAGCCGCATCATCCTCAACCTCAAAGTCATTGACAAAGGTGGGAAGCCAGCCAACGGGGCCGGGGGCCTGGCTCGGCCCAAGATCCCATCCCGAAACCGCGTCATCGGCAAGAGCAAAAAGTTCAGCGAGAGCGTCCTCCGCACTCAGATCCGTCACATGAAGTTCGGCGCCTTTTCACTCTACAATAAGCCGTCCACTACACCTGCTCCCTCTCTGGAGGGCAAAGGGGAGGCTGAAGGCTCCCAGGCAGCCTCCTGTGGGCTCATTATGGGCTCCACCCCCTATGATGCCCCCAGCTCCAGCTCCTCCGGCTGCCCATCACCTGCCCCCCACTCCTCCTCTGACCCAGATGATTCCCCTCCGAAGCTGCTCCCTGAGACCCTCAGCCCAGCCATCCCCGACTGGCGCGAGTCAGAGGTCCTCGACCTCTCGATCCCACCCGAGTCGGCTGCTACCAGCAAGTGTTCTCCCCCGGGAGGGTGCGGCGGGGGGCAGACGCCCTCCTTGTCGCTTTCATCTTCTGACCCGGAGCAGGAGGCTGGCGACTGGCGTCCTGAGATGTCCCCTTGCTCTAATGTGGTGGTCACGGATGTCACCAGCAACCTCCTCACTGTCACCATCAAGGAGTTCTGCAACGCAGAGGATTTTGAGAAGGTGGCAGCGGGCGGTGGTGGCGGAGGAGGCAGCAAGTGAGCAGCCAGGTCCCCCTGCTCCAGGGGCGTGGGGGGAGCTCTTCCTGCGAGAAGTCGTGGTGCGAATGGCTGTCCTTAGTTCTCTCCTTCTCCCCTTGGCTGTCCCTCTGCCCTCACTGCCACCCTTCCTCCTCCTTTCCCCCTGTCCACTGCCTCTTGCCTGGAGGCTGGAGCGTGTCAGTGGGGCGGAGCGGGGGCACCCACCGTTCCTGGGTGTCGCTGCTGCTGGGAGGAGGCAGGGAGGGTCGTGGTGGGGCTGGGGAGTGGTTGTTTGTCCTTGAATGTGGTGTTGTCCAACGGGCGGTGGAGCCTTTGGGGATGAGGGATGGGTGAGCGTGTGTCTGTGTGCCTGTGGGGGTGGTGGGGAAGGTGCTCTTCCTCCTCCTTCCCCTTCCGTCTTTGACAAAAACTGAAGAGGAGCTCCAGACCCTTGAGGGGAGGATGTAAGAGGATTGGAGCCCTTGCCCACTCCCCCCAAGCCTTCTCCCACAATGTGCATGCAGTCTTTTCCATTCCTGTGTTTCCCCCTTGCCATGACTCTGATCCTGCCATCCTTCCCCTTCTTGGCCTGTGGCCTGGATCTGCCCCCTCCTCTGCTCTCCTCGTGGCGGTTGCTGATCCAGATGCTCCCAGAGCGAGGGGGAGAGGGGCAGGTGAAGCGTCATGCCTGGAAGGTGCTTGAGACAAAGCTGGGGTGGTGGGGGATGCCCCATGCAGCGTACACCCCATATTGGCTTCCCCTTTCCTTTGACTATTGGTGCTACCTTGGCAGTTGTATGGGCACTTTCAGGTGGCCTGGTTCCTCTTCTCCTGCATCTTCCAACTTGCTCAGCTTTGCAGGGGGAAGGGAAGAAAAGGGGAGTCTGCTTCTGGCCCAGATCTTCCTCCTGGTGTTCATCACTTGCACTTGCTTGGGGGAGAGGGCATGAAATGCCCTTCCCCGGCCTTTCTGTGGTGGAAGTGGGAGTGGGCCGTGCATCCATCCTTCAGTTTGGGGGAAGATACGCCAACAGCGTGACGCTGCCCCAGCCGAGTGAGGCTGGTCTCACGCCTTGTGCGTAGGCTTCCCCTGACTCTTTTTGCTTCCCCTGCTCCCTTGGAAGGAGGGAGGGATGGATGGATGGATGCTAAGGCGGGTCGTTTGCTCTTCCTGCTTCCTTTCGTCTCTCCTGCTGTCCCTTCTCTGTGGTGGATGGCCTGGAAGAGGGTTCCCCTCTTGTCTTTTCAGCATCTGAAATGGCCCTTACAACTGTCAACCAAAGGTGCTAATAAGAAATAACCGTCTCTCTCACGTTGTATGCGTGTGCGCTGGATTTCTTCCCCAAGAGCTCCTGTGCGCTCATCTAGAAATTCCTTCTCTTTGCCCCTTGCAAGTAGGAGCGAGCAAGACCACAGCTTGCCGTTCTTTACTCACAGCTCCAT